TTTGTCTTTTTCTTTCAATTCAAAATCGATTTTCTTTTCATTTACATTACTCGATCCCAGATTTTCTTTTTTATCTTTTTTTTCTTCTCTTTTTTTTCTTTTTACTTCCATTTTTTTGTGTCTATATAGCTATGTATGATAAAATAGAGTTTTTCGTTTTCAAATTTCCTTCATAAACACCTTCGGAGAACTGCCTATAATGGCCACCGTCACCTAGTCCAACTATTGAAGCTGTTAGAGTAAAGAGGAACAGAATGTAACGTGTCGCACAACAATTTCCAACTATTATTAGGTAAATGCATAAGAAATGCGCATTTCAATATTTTCATTTGAAATTTCCAACGATAGAAAGCTGATATCGATGAATGTTATAAACTATTGGGTTGGGGAGAATGAGTCGGCGCCGAACTTTAAAGGGACTTTTTGCACACATAAAGCCTTCTTTAAACATACGTTTGGTTTCATCAAAAGGATCCACTATTTCTCTACAAAATCATTTTTGAGAGATTCCACAAAGCTTTTCTTTCGTGGAGTTTATGAACTTCGAAACGCAGCTGGTTAAAATGGCAAAGAGTCCGACTCATCATTTGAACAGTTTCTTTCACATAAACCTTCTTTGGTGTTTATATAAAAAAGATAGAGCACATTCAATTACTTAAGTTGCCAAATTTGCAGGAAGATCCCACCAATGGTTTTTTCTAGATCACAGTTTGTAGTTTTTGTGAAAAAATGGCTTTTTCTTGAGCGGAGGCGCTGTTTGAATTTTCTTTTAAATGTCGTTTTGTAGAGAATTAGTTAACCATTCTACTCATATCAAACGCATATTATTTGACGAAGTCGAATAGAAGTTTTAGACATTTTTTTGATTTTCGGCGCCGACTCATTCTCCCCAACCCAATATTAGGTTGATGCAAAAGTCTTTTTCATTTTTTTCGTACTTCTTTTGAAAAATAACAAAGTCATCAATTAACCTATGGTTTGCTGTAAATGAAAAGTGTTTATTGTTGAATTGCCCATCTTTTTAAGTCAATTTGGGTTCACTTTCAAGCAAATTCGAGAGTGAAAACGGGTTTTTCATAAAAATCTATAAAAACCTCTATAAAGAAATTGGCTGAATCAATTTCTCTGAAAATCTGAAAAAATATCTAACTTTTTGTGCTCTATCTTTATTTATTAACATCAAGATTGGTTTCCTTAGCTAAAGCGTCTAAAATGCATCATCGAGCCGTCGCCTTTTTTGACTACCCGACTTCAGGCTCTCAAAAAAATCTAGACATAAGACATTTTAAACTCGTTTTAATGTCATTTTGCAGAAAAATAATTGGCCTTTCGAATGCAATAAACCGTTGTTCAATTGGTGCATTTGTTACTTTTTAACGGAAGTACGAAAAAAATGAAAAAGACTTTTGCATCAACCTAATATTTATTAGGTCCGGAAAAAATTAATGTCGTATTTTTTCACTAAAGTTCCAACGTTCATAAAATTTTGATTTCAAAAGCAATTTAATCAAAGTAAAAACCAGTAGAATCTATACATGATTGCCAACGTTTGGCCAACTTTTCAATTCCTAAAGTGTAGAACGCGGACCCCATTGAATCGATAAACTCCTTGATGCCATTTTTGACCTCCCCTTGGGTAGCAAAGCATTTCTCCGATATGAAATGATAGAGGAACTTGAAAAAGTGGAAATCTGTAGGCGACAAATCAGGAGAATATGGAGCATGAAGGAGGACTTCAATGTGCAGCTCGTTCAATTTTTGAAGAGTCTTTAGTGAACAATGCGGGTGGGCGTTGTGTTGCAATAGGATGGGACCCTTCCGATTCACTAGAGCTGGATCGATCCTTCGAATTTTTGCATACATTTCGTTTATTTCGTGAATATACTGATCAGAATTTATCGTTTTTCCGTTTGGTAGAATTGAATAATGGTTTAGACCTTTCTGCGACCACCAAACACTGAGAAGAAACTTCTTTGGGTGTAGGTCGGGCTTCGGAAAGGGCTTCGATGGTTATCCTTTATCTAGCCATTCGGCTTTGCGTTTTCGGTTATCGTAGAGGACCCATTTTTCATCACAAGTTACAATTCGATCCAGAAATGGCTCCTTTTGGTTACGAAACAGCAATGAATACGATGTGAGGTAACAGTGCAATTTTTGATATTCGTTCAACTGATGAGGCACCCAATTTTTCAACTTTTTTACTTTTCCGATTCCCTTGAGATGGTTCTCAATTGTGTGTGGAGTGACTCCAAAGCGCGTTACTAATTCTGCCTCCGCTGTTCTGGGATCCGCTTCTACCAGCTCCTTTAATTCGCCATTATCGAGACTATCATGGCGTTCTTGGCCTTCCTTGTCATTAAGATCCTCGTCGCCTTCCTGTAATCGTTTGAACCAGCGCTGAACTGCTCGAACTTCAGCTTTATTTTCCCCAAAAACTTGATTGATGTTTTGGGTCGCTTTTGACGCATTGTGGCCAAGCTTGAACTCATACAAAAAGAGAAGGCGAAAGTCTCGATTTTCCATCGATGTAAAACAACCTGAAAAAAAACCATTAAGGAAGGTCTAAGCAAAAGTGTTAAACAGAAAAGAAAATTGAGAAAAAAGTACTCAAATACATAAAAAGACCCAAGGTCAATAAGCATTTGCAGCCGCGTAGGCAACGCCAGAAAGTGAGACCCACAAATACGACATTAATTTTTTCCGTACCTAATAAAAGTCGTAAATCTCCTCTACAAAATAGACTAAAACGTGTTTCAATTGATCGAGCCATTGAAGAAAATAATTGAACTAAGGTAGGGCTGACGAGCGAGCACTCTGTGCCAAAATGCCGATTACAAGCCTTTATGCGTACTTTTTACGTACTTTTTGCGTACTTTGTGCCTAAAACTGTAACCAAATCTATTCTATTGCACTTAAATTGTTTATTTTAACTAGTTATTCAGAGTTGTTGTCTTATTTAAAAGGATGAGAAAGGCTGTGTTTAAATTGAGCTCAAAGTCCACTCGAATATTAGGTAAATGCATAAGAAATGCGGATTTCAACATTTCAACATTCAACATTTATTTCCAACGATAGAAACCTGATATGGATGAATGTTCTAAACTATTTGAAAGTCGTAAATCTCCTCTACAAAATAGGCTAAAACGTGTTTCAACTGATCAAAGCATTGAAGAAATTTCGAGGCCGAAATGCGAGTGACCAAAAAAAGGAATCAAGTCACTTTAGGGACAAGGAGATTTACAACTTTTAAATAGTTTATAACCTTCATCCATATCAGGTTTCTATCGTTTGGAAATTTATGAAAATTATTGAAATCCGCATTTCTTATGTACCTAATACAATAGCTAAAATGTTACAGTGGCCAAAGTGGAAAGCCTGGAAGCTGATACAGTAAACTAAGTAGCATACCGTAACCCTAAAACAACTTCAAACTGTTACAGTACTCTTATAGTAACCCAGAAGCTGCTACAGTAACCTAAGTAGCCTATCATAACCCTAAAAGTAACTTTAAACTGTTACAGTAACCTGCCGTAACCCTAAAACAACTGTAAACTGTTACAGTAGCCAAAGTAGCAAGACTAGAAGCTGTTACAGTAAACTAAGCAGCCTACCGTAAGCCTAAAAATAACTTTAGCTAATCGATCAAGTACCGTAACTAACTCTATTATAATAGGTTGATGCATAAGTCTTTTCGTTTTTTTCGTACTTCTGTTAAAAAGTAACAAATTCACGAATTAATCTATAGTTTGCTCTATAAAAAAAGTGTTTTTTTTGTTCAATTTGCATCTTTTTAAATGAATTTCGGTTCACTTTCAAGCAAATTCGAGAGTGAAAAACGCCTTTTTCGTAAAAATCTATAAAAAACTCTACGGAAAAATTGGCTGAATGAATTTCTCTGAAATTTTGGCGAAATATCAAACGTTTTTTTCTCTATCTTTTATCTATTGACACGAAGATAGGTTTTCTTTAGCTAAGGTGTCTAAACCGCATCATCGAGTTAGCCCTTTTTGACTACCCGACTTCCTACTTTCAAGAAAATCCAGGCATTTCTTTAGCTAAGGTGTCTAAACCGCATCATCGAGTTAGCCCTTTTTGACTACCCGACTTCATACTCTCAAGAAAATCCAGGCATTAAATATTTTTAAACCTGTTTTAATCTTATTTTGCAGAAAAATAATTGGTTTTTCTAATGAAATCAACCGTAGTTTAATTCGTGCATTTGTTGGCTTGAAACGGCAGACGAAAAGGAACGAAAAGACTTATGCATCAACCTATTACTATTAGGTTGGTAAAAAAGAAATGAGCGTCGTGTTTGTTGATTGGACCGCGTGGACCAGGCGCTGCGAAGTCAAGGTGTGGATACGGCGTCGACAAAATTCCTCCACGACAACGCTCGGCCGCATGTCGCAAAAATCACCCAGCAGAAAATTGAAGAAATGGGCTGGGAAGTCCTGCCTCATCCGCCATACAGCCCAGACTTGGCGCCTTCCGACTACCATCTGTTCCGACCAATGCACCACTCCTTGGCCGAGAAAAAGTTCAAGAACCGTGACGAGGTCCAAATTTGGGTGTCCAGCTTCTTCGAGTCGCAGCCGGTCGAGTTCTTCAAGAAGGGCATCCATCCAAGAAGGGCACGAAGATAGGTTTTCTCTAGCTAAGGTGTCTAAACCGCATCATCAAGTTAGCCCTTTTTGACTACCCGACTTCATACTCTCAAGAAAATCCAGGCATTAAATATTTTTAAACCCGTTTTAATATTATTTTGCAGAAAAATAATTGGTTTTTCTAATGAAATCAACCGTAGTTTAATTGGTCCATTTGTTGGCTTGAAACGGCAGACGAAAAGGAACGAAAAGACTTATGCATCAACCTAATAGTAATTGAAGCCTAAAGCTATAAAACTTGCAATCTTTTTCGGAAGATTGCAACTTCTACCGTAATCCGGACAACCTTGCTTTTCATATATCTTTATTTAAAACAAAAACAAACAATTCTTATCAAAGAAATCTCTCCTTTTTCGATGTGATTCTCAAATGTGCATGGCAGATCTCGTCAGGCAACTCGAAATCCAAATTTGATGGATATTTTCTAGAAAACTTTTTTGTAGTTTGGATTTTTTTCTAGAGTTCTAGCAATTGGATTTATGAATTCAAAGTACTAAATATGAATTTATTACAAAGCTATTAACATTCACGACATTCAAAAACTAGAATGTCGAGAATTTTCAATAGCTTTGTAATAAAGAAATTGATGGCAAAGAGTTTGAAGGGGAACTGAAATCTTGACCTTTTGCTTAACAGGAAAAGCCTCTGCCACTCAGCTATCAATTACTTCTTTAGCTTTAGCCAAGAAGAAATAGAAAAGATTTGGAAGAAAGAGAGGGAAGGAAGGCTTTCAGAAATCGACAATTTGTAATAAAGTAAAGAAATGAATGGAAAAGAAGTCAGAAATTTCATTCTCACCTCTTGTTCGGTTTCTTGCTTTGTGTGAGCTTTATAGGTTCTGTTGGAATTGTTGAAGTGGACGTGGTCGTCGTTGAAGTGATTGTTGGGAAAGTTGAAGTGAATGAGACTGAAGCTGGAGTTGGCTCACCTGAAATATTCAGCTTTTTAAGTTCAGTCAAGTTAAACTTTATTAAACACACCGTATCTCTAATAGTAGTGCACCCCGATGAGCTAAGTTGATGCCTATTTTACAGCTCCCAAGCCTTCACAGAAGCTAAACACTCAAATCCGCCACTAGATCTCATCGTCAGCTACATTTTCCGACCCAACATCGATAGGTTCTGATAAGCGGTTCTCGAGATTTCGAGGAATTTAGAGAGAGCTTAGGGTGCACTACTACTAGAGAAAATACGCTAAATACTTATCCAATTTTTATCAAATCATTGAATCTTCACTATAAACCTTTAAGGTTTTAAAAACTACAAGACTTGATTTAAGAATTGATAAGCTTTGATAAAGCTTTATTAGGCTAGATCTATTTAAGATCTACTAAAGTAGATCTACTTAAGCTCAGACCTATTGAAACAGATCTACTTAAGCAGATCTACTTAAGCTCAGATCTATTTAAGCAGATCTACTTAAGTACTAAGCTATTAGACTTAAGTAAGGTTTTTGATTGTCAGATTGAATTAATAAGCCTTGATAAAGCCTTGTTAGGCTAGATCTACTTAAGCAGATCTATTTAAGCAGATCTACATAAGCTCAGATCTACTAAAGCTCAGATCTACCCAAGCTCAGATCTACCTAGCCTCAGATCTACCTAGACTCAGGTCTATTTAAGCAGATCTACTGAAGCAGATCCACTTAAATACTAAGCTATTAGACTTAAGTAAGGTTTTTTTTTTAGATTTATACTATTATACCACTTATACGATATTTTGATCACCTGTGATTGTTGTCGTTTCCTCAAAAGAATCGACGGCAAAGCGATCAATCGGCACCGCTATATAGGCTTTTCCACCAATGATCGTCCTTGTTCCTGCCCTCAATGGACTCAATGATGGATTGCTGATTGACTCAAGAGAAGTTGATGAAGCTTCTGAAGTCGTTTTTAGCTAAAATTGGTAGTTGACGTTGGTATTTCTTCTAAGAAATGGTTAGAGGAATTGCCTGGAAAGGAAAAGGGTCAAGGGTTCAATCGAATCACCAGGAATCTTTCTTTTTCACTCATTACTTTATTAGGTAAACTGAAAATCTTTCCCTAATGGTTAAAGCTGTGAAAAGTCTAAGATAACAGTCTAGATAAGCATCTAATCTTTGAAAAGTCTCTTGTTTTGCTTTGCTTTGTTTTGTTTCGTTTTCTCAAGACTCACCTCTTCTTTTCCAATCTCTTTATCAACTATTGATCCATTTCTGCTCTCATTTTTCCCAATTTCTCGTAAAATCGACGGATCGTTATTGGAAAGAGCTCTGAAATTGCTTTATCTAAAATTTGAAAAATCTATCGTAATCTTCATCTTTGGTTTGATTGATTTTATTCTTTTAATTGATTGCATCCTTCTCATCCTTCTCATCCTTCTCATCCTTCTCATCCTTCTCATTCTTCTCATCCTTCTCATTCTTCTCATCCTTCTCATCCTTCTCATCCTTCTCATCCTTCTCATTCTTCTCATCCTTCTCATTCTTCTCATCCTTCTCATCCTTCTCATCCTTCTCATCCTTCTCATCCTTCTCATCCTTCTCATCCTTCTCATCCTTCTCATCCTTCTCATCCATCTCATCCATCTCATCCATCTCATCCGTCTCATCCTTCTCATCCTTCTCATCCTTCTCATTCATTCATCTAATTCTTCGCATTCTTCTCATTCATTCTTCTTCTCAATCTAAGCTTCAGAAGAAACGCAAATACTCTAACCACCGTCTCGTAAAGTCTAAATCGTTCATCATTTTTTCATCATTTGTTTCTCAGCTTCTACATTTTCTTTAGTACTTTTGGCACTAAAACATAGTAGATATTAAGAGCTATCATTTACCAATCAAGCGCATACTGTAGCTTAAAATAGTGCAGAGAATTTGATGTTCAAAGTTACACAACTCTGCGTATCATTACTTGAATCTTTTCAAGTTTCTTTGAAAGCAAAAGGTTAGCTTTCGAGATTATTCTTTTAGAAAACTCGACTTTATTAGAAAAAGGAAGAAAGAGAGAAGGAAAGAAAGAGAGAAAGAAAGAGAGAAAAGAAAGAAAGAGAGAAAAGAAAGAAAGAAAGAAAGAAAAGTTGATTGAATAGAATTTTCAGACAAAAATTGATAGCAAATCTTTGTTCTTTGGCGTCCGAAAATGTTTGAAAAAACGATTTTCCTAATTTTTCTTCTAATTCTTGAAATTCAAGCACAATGCCCACAAAATTCGATTTACATTGATCAAATGGATAAATGTTTAATCTACAGTACTCAATGTGAGTTTAATATTATTTTAAAATCTAGAAACATTAAAAAAATTTTTCTTCATTACAAAGTTTGAGTTGTGAGTAAATCTCTTTTGGAAAAATTGGAAATTCATCTTTTAAATCACTTTGTGCTCAAAACAGCGTAAACAAACTCGATCTAGAGCACTGAATAATCGGAAAAACTTGGAGTTTAATGGGATAGAAATGGATAGATTTGTGGCACACAAAGTATTGGGTTGTCCAGTTATGAATGCGCGTTTTTTTACTATTTTTACTATTTGTATTTACAAGATAGCGAAATCAAGAAAAAGATATATATGAATATTATTCGAAAGCTGAAGATCTCCTCTAAATTTTGATATAAAAAGTTTTTGAATTTGTTGAGCTTTTGGGCAAATTGAATGCACAGGAGAAGAGGTGGCCAAAAAAATCGATCAAGTTTTGGCTCTCGGAACTCAGAGCCAGCTCTCGGGATTCAGAGCCAGCTCTCGGGAATCAGAGCCAGCTCTCGGGATTCAGAGCCAGCTCTCGGGATTCAGAGCCAGCTCTCGGGACTCAGAGCCAGCTCTCGGGATTCAGAGCCAGCTCTCGGGAATCAGAGCCAGCTCTCGGGATTCAGAGCCAGCTCTCGGGACTCAGAGCCAGCTCTCGGGACTCAGAGCCAGCTCTCGGGATTCAGAGCCAGCTCTCGGAACTCAGAGCCAGCTCTCGGGAATCAGAGCCAGCCGAGGTGCCTTTGGATCAAGTTTTGGCTCCGCTCAAATTGCGTTAACCGTTTGATGTTTGGCCAATAGATATATCAATACAACTTTTTTTGAAATATAACAATTGCAGAGCATCTTTACTTTTCTTTTCTTTTCTTGGCGGTTATTTTACACCATAAAACTTGAGGAATAGCTAAGCTGAAATGGGGTTTTTTTTTTTTGAAAGCGACCTCTCCCTTTGTGCAGTCAATTTCCCAAAATGTTGAATGAGTTCAAAAACTTTTTTTATTCCAAAATGTAGAGGAGATCTTCAGCTTTCGAATGATATATAACAGTCATATAAATCTGTTCGATATCATGAGAAATTTACAAAATAGTAAAAAACGCGCATTCATAACTGGACAACCCAATACTTTGTGTGCCACAAATCTATCCATTTCTATCCCATTAAACTCCAAGTTTTTCCTATTATTCAGTGCTCTAGATCGAGTTTGTTTACGCTGTTTTGATCACAAAGTACAAAGCTAAATGGATGCAGCTTTTTGTAGCTTTTTTTAGCTTTTTGCAACCTTTTGAATTGAAAATTGATGGAAAAAATCGAAAACTTTTAAATCATTTGCATTGTTTGAATTAAAATTAATAATATCTTTCATTTTTTTCTCAAATTTTAGCTGCAAATTTTGATGGAGCTGTGGGAATTTGCGAGAGTTTCAACGGTTTTCTCATCTCCATTCATAACGCTTTCGAAAATGCTGCAATTGCTGCTTTTCAAAAAGAAAGTACGAATTATTTGTCTTTGAAATTTCAATTTGAAACTTATTTCTTTTCTAGGCGATTCACCCAGCCGCTTTTTTCTGATCGGCCTCCAACGATCGCCAACAACGGATTGGACGTGGAGTGACGACAACTCCACCAGTCAATTTTTCAAATGGGCACCAGGTAAAAATGTGATGACAAGCGAATGCCAATCATTCTGCTTTCTGCTAGCCAAATGACACCAACTATATACTATTCAGCGCATAATTCAAGCATAGTTTTACGCATAATTCAAGCAGACATACTTAAGATTTATCTCCAGGAACAAGAGCGCTCTCAAAAAATCCCATAAATAAGTAGCATTTGCTCAAAAGTCGGCTCTCAACTTTGGATTGTTATAAGAGAAAGTTGAAAGGTTAAATCGATTAGATAATGGGCATAATTTAAGGAGACATACTTAAGATTTATCTCCAGAAAAAGCAGAATGATTGAGCGAATTTTGGCTAATCTAGGCCCTCCGAAGTGAAGTGAAATCTATAGTTGTTGGCCACTGTTTATTATTCTTACTGTCACTGGAATCTCTTTCTAAATTAGAGTCATAATAGCTATTAAGTTATAGAAATTGGCTACCATGTGATGGGTACAAATTTACTTAAAAGGGAATGCTAATCGGATGTGGTAATCAAATGACAAATCAAATGACACGAGCCATACACTATTTGACGTAGAATTTTACACTCATTCCGATTTTCATTTCCGCTTTTGCTTCGTTTGCAAGTAGAAAATATTGTTTTCTTCTTGAACTAGCTATTGGCTAGCTGAACTAGCTATTAGCTAGCTGAACTAGCTATTAGCTAGCTGAACTAGCTGAGCTCTAATTTAGAAAGAGATTCCAGTGACAGTAAGAATAATAAACAGTGACCAACAACTATAGATTTCACTTCACTTCAGAGTGAGTTTCACTTTCTGTTTCTGTTTCTGTATTATTTCATATTAAGGTCATCCTGGCTCGAGCTCGAATTGCGCCTTTTTGGCCACAGATGAGCAGCTATGGCACTCCGTCGATTGTGCTCAGCCGAACGCGTTCATTTGTGAGCTGCCGAAAAGTAAGAACTGAAAAGTACGATAGAATTTGCTAAGCAAATTCTATTGTACTCAAAAAGTGAAAGTAAATCTTTGCATTAAACACTGGAATCAAGAGTTGATGCCTGAGAGCTAAAAGTGAGTCTTGGGAACCTTGAGAACCTTGAAAAACTCCTGGAAAGCTAGAGTAGAGAAGAGTACGAAGAGTAGAGTACGAAGAATGCAAATGTCAGTCTATTCTAAAGTCAATTCAGAATCCCCTTGTCTCCCCGGTTGCACTTGAAAGCATTAAAACCTTAAAGGGTCACCAGTTTAGAGCCTGGCTTCAATCAGGGTTTCTAGATTGGACCGAAAAGTATTAAAATCTTAAAGGGTCACCGGTTTAGAGCCTGGCTTCGATCAGGGTTTCTAAATTGGACCGGAAAGCATTAAAATCTTAAAAGTAAGCCTTGAGAACCTTGGAAAACCCTGGAAAGCTCTGAATACGAAGAATGCAATTGTAAGTCTATTCTCACTTCAATTCAGAATCCCCTTGTCTCCCCGGTTGGACGTATTTCAACTATACAAATATGTGCTACTATGTAAGTTTATTTACTTTATCTAATAGGTTGATGCATAAGTCTTTTTGTTCCTTTTCGTCTGCCGTTTCAAGCCAACAAATGCACGAATTAAACTACGGTTGATTTCATTAGAAAAAGCAATTATTTTTCTGCAAAATAACATTAAAACGGGTTTAAAAATATTTAATGCCTGGATTTTCTTGAGAGTATGAAGTCGGGTAGTCAAAAAGGGCTAACTCGATGATGCGGTTTAGACACCTTAGCTAAAGAAAACCTATCTTCGTGCCCTTCTTGGATGGATGCCCTTCTTGAAGAACTCGACCGGCTGCGACTCGAAGAAGCTGGACACCCAAATTTGGACCTCGTCACGGTTCTTGAACTTTTTCTCGGCCAAGGAGTGGTGCATTGGTCGGAACAGATGGTAGTCGGAAGGCGCCAAGTCTGGGCTGTATGGCGGATGAGGCAGGACTTCCCAGCCCATTTCTTCAATTTTCTGCTGGGTGATTTTTGCGACATGCGGCCGAGCGTTGTCGTGGAGGAATTTTGTCGACGCCGTATCCACACCTTGACTTCGCAGCGCCTGGTCCACGCGGTCCAATCAACAAACACGACGCTCATTTCTTTTTTACCAACCTAATAGTAATAGGTTGATGCATAAGTCTTTTCGTTCCTTTTCGTCTGCCGTTTCAAGCCAACAAATGCACGAATTAAACTACGGTTGATTTCATTAGAAAAACCAATTATTTTTCTGCAAAATAACATTAAAACGGGTTTAAAAATATTTAATGCCTGGATTTTCTTGAGAGTATGAAGTCGGGTAGTCAAAAAGGGCTAACTCGATGATGCGGTTTAGACACCTTAGCTAAAGAAAACCTATCTTCGTGTCAATAGATAAAAGATAGAGAAAAAAAACGTTTGATATTTCGCCAAAATTTCAGAGAAATTCATTCAGCCAATTTTTCCGTAGAGTTTTTTATAGATTTTTACGAAAAAGGCGTTTTTCACTCTCGAATTTGCTTGAAAGTGAACCGAAATTGATTTAAAAAGATGCAAATTGAACAAAAAAACACTTTTTTTATAGAGCAAACTATAGATTAATTCGCGAATTTGTTACTTTTTAACAGAAGTACGAAAAAAACGAAAACACTTATGCATCAACCTAATAATCGAGTTTCTAAAAGGTATCTTTTAAGAAAAAATATCGTAATCCAACCGAGATTTTACTCAAATCAAAAGTCAAAAATCCCTTTATAACACTTCTTTCACCCTCTGGCCGTGTGAGCTTGTGGTGTAGTGAATAAGAGCCCTCTTTCCCGAACTAGCTAGACTCATTTTGTCCTCAGGCTCGATTCCTTCCTCTTCTTTACATTTTATTTTGATATTTAATCACTCAAATTCGCTCTGTTTTAACTTTACAATAACTATTATGACATCTCTCATGATTCCGGTTCTCTGATGATTCCGGTTCTCTGATGATTCTGGTTCTCTGATGATTCTTGTTCTTTTATGATTCTTGTTCTTTGATGATTCTTGTTGTCTGATGATTCTTGAGAACAAGAATCATCAGAGATGTCATAATAGTTATTGTAAAGTTAAAACAAAGCGAATTTGAGTGATTAAACATCAAAATAAAATGTAAAGAAGAGGAAGGAATCGAGCTAGGAAACACTGGATGACAATAGCAAGGGATAGAGAAATGTGGAAGCGAAGCAGGTTGTGATCTGCGCAAATAGGAACACCTGAGTGCGAAAACCGATCAAAAAAAAATTATGACATCTTTTAATTGATAATCAATCAATCAATCAATCAATCATCAACGGAATCAACGTAAAATTCTGCGTCAAATGTTATATGTCCATTGTCATTTTATTGTCATTTATGCCACCTCAGCCTTGTGACTTTCTCTTGTCAGTAAATGATAGAAAAATTGAGCTGATTGGATATAAACTGATAGATTACGGTAGTTTTTCAAAAATGGCTGCCTTTTAGAAAACGTTCTGTGATTAAATAAGATTTTTAGAAAGGCGAAAAGAAATCTTTCAATCAAGCCGAGATTTTCTGTCGAGCCAACGGTGGACATTTGACCTCAATTCATAACAATATTGAGAACGCGTTTATTTTTGGTAAAATATTTCGATCTAAATCTTCTCAACTTTCCAAAAGTTTCGCTTTCTCTTTAGAAATGACGTACGCGGTCTCGTGCTACAACGAAACGTCACAATATGTTGAGGGAACCGTTGTGCTGGGAGGGTACTATGATAAATCAAGTAAGAAAGTTACAGAAATAAGATTCGTCTATCACAAAATGTTAGCCTATACCTTGTAAAGCCAAAGCAAAGCCCAGATCTGCAGCTAAGCTTTCTTCTAGATCAGAGTCAGAGTCGAAAGCTTTCCCAAAACAACAAGACTTGAATGTCGGCATGTCCGAAGAAAAGAAAACTGACTGTCAATCCTGGCATGCCCAATGTATGATTAAGAAAACTGGCTCTCAATCCCAGCATGTCTGAACGTAGGCTTCAGAAAACTGGCTGTCAATTCCGGCATGTCCAATGTATGATTAAGAAAACTGGCTGTCAATCCCAGCATGTCCAAAAGTACCCTTAAGAAAACTGGCTGTCAATCCCGGCATGTCCAAAAGTACGCTTAAGAAAACTGGCTGTCAATTTTGTCTTCATCCAAGTGGTTCATCCTTACCAAACGAAGTTCAACTTGTTTGCAACTTGCTTTTGAATAACCCAATCGATCCGCTTTCTGCGCAAAAGAGAAAACGGTTTGCATTTGAAGCCATCCGATCGTGCCGCCAACATCACGAAAATCTTTGTTTTCTCATTTCCAATTGATCGACCACAAACTTCCTTTGCTCCCTTTTCTTCGACACATTGTCCACCAGGCTCTTCAGGCCTCTAGACCATAAGTCAGACCTCGAGACCAGCCAGATCAGCCCCGAAAATTTCCTGAGTTCCAGTAGCCGGCGTTCGTCAATGGTTGGATGGAAGTGATGGGGACTATGTTGGAGATTTGATGTGCTATGAGCCGAATGATAACTCGATGATATTGGTGAGTTTTCGCTACAGTAACCCACTAGGCTACAGTATTCTTAAAGTCGGAGCAATCCTGGGAAAGATATTCTGAGAATTCTAGATGTTCTCCTATCCGATCAATTGCAATGATTGCGGGAATCCACACGGCAATTGGTACATCGCTGCCGATGACCCGAATGAGACTGTTTTCCCGAATTTTGTGTGTAAAGCACCAGCATTTCAATAAAGAGTTTACGTTGAATTTAGAGCTTTAGAGGATGTAGAATTTCTTGAAAAATATAGCTAAAATTTAAGGTAGAAATTATTGGGAATAATTGGGAATAGTGACGATGAAAATGTCTCAATCGCTCGAGTCATTGATCTAAAGAACTCTCCAGCTACCGTAGCCCGTCTTGCTCTAAAGAACTCTCCAGCTACCGTAGCCCAGCTTGATCTAAAGAGCTCTCCAGATACTGTAGTCTAACTTGCTCTAAAGAGCTCTCCAGCTACCGTAGCCTGACTCCCTTCCACATTGACGTCTATGACTTGCTTGGCCAGACAGCTTAATCGACGCCAAAAGGAACATCTATCTATCAGCAGGGGGTGCCAGAAAGCGAGCGATTGTGCGCATCACACAAAGAACACATCACATCATTTATCCAGGAATTCTTTTGTTCTTTAAATGGCTCCCATTTAAGATTTAAAGCTGAAAACTTGTACTTAGGGGTTTTCAAGGACGGGGAATCAATTGAAGATATTGATTTTATTGAGTTTATCACCGTATCGAGATGATTAGTTTAGATTTAGATCATCTAGATTTAAATCTAGCCCACCTTGCGATGATCGATAGAATCGTCGGATCATTGACTGTCTCTTCACTTTTCGTCTCCTTTCTCGCCTTTGCGTACTGTGATAATTGAGCGCTTGCATCTGAAAGAGGAAAGTTTTTCAATTGAAAACTCTCCAAACTCATTAGATCCCATCTCGTCGGAGGCTTTCGAGCAAAATGACCGAAGCGACGAATCGGTTCGAGAGACTGAAATTGTTTAGGAATACTGTGCGTACTTTGTGCTCAATAATTCTTAAGCACACCCTTTCTGGTGCTCGAGTCATTGATCTAAAAAACTCTCCAGCTATTGTAGCCTAACTTGCTCTAAAGGGCTCTCCAACTACCGTAGCCCGTCTTGCTCTAAAGAACTCTCCAGCTACCGGTAGCCCGACTTGCTCTCAGAAATCTCCAGCTACCGTAGCCCGACTTGCTCCAAAGAACTCTCCAGCTACCGGTAGCCCGTCTTGCTCTAAAGAACTCTCCAGCTACTGTAGTCTAACTTGCTCTAAAGAACTCTTCAACTACCGTAACCCTACTAGAGAATAGCGACCATACCCGCTCCTGAATCTTTACCATGTCTTAGACTTCACTACCCAGGTACTATAAATCGGCTATTAGTTACGGTAGCTTTAGCTTCCCTCTCTTCCTTATCTTTCCTATTTCTTCTTGGGTAAACAAGGCGTGGATATTTAAGTGATAAAGCATCTTAGTGATAAGCTCAGTGGTAAGCAATAGGTCGAGGGTTAAATTCTCCTCCAAATTCTTTGCTATTCATTTCTTTACTTTATTACAAGTCGCAATTACAGCTCAAGTGATTGATGCAAAGAATTGCGTGCGTTAGAAATGATGTGTTTCCATTTTCCAAGCACAAAGTACATCTTTTTACTCAACTAGACAAAAGAAATGATACCGTTGTTGTTTCAGCAATTGATCGACTCCTCGTTGGTCTGGATGGGATCACTGAAAACGACTTTAAAAGCTCGATTCTCTAGACTTACAATAACTCTAACATTTTTAGAGTTTACTGTAAGTAAACCTAAGCCAAAAACATAAGCCTAAAACCTACATGTTTTCAAATATTCACTTGTCGTCAAATTTGTTGCTTTTGTTGTATCTGGAGGGATTGGAGTGGGAGAATTCGTGACTTTTGTGAAAGAAAACATTTCGGATGAGTTTGGAGCAGAGATTGCTAAAGTTTGAAGTTAAAATTGCACTAAAAAGAGAATGTTTCCAGCACAAAGTGTACTAGAAAGAGAATGTTTCTAGCACAAAGTACACTAGAAAGAGAATGTTTCCAGCACAAAGTGCATTAGAAAGAGAATGTTTCTAGCACAAAGTGTACTAGAAAGCGAATGTTTCTAGAAAGTGCACTAGAAAGGGAATGTTTCTAACACAAAGTGCACTCAATTTTTAGATTTTTAAACAAACGTTTTTTAGCGATTGGATCCCATTCGTTTAAAGGAGAGAAAATCGCTGATTGACCGACAACGGGCAGGAAACGAGCTGTGATTGAGGAGTTGATCTGAAAGAATATCAACAATGAATCAGGAATCAGAAATTTAACGAAACTAGCTTGATTATTTGATTGAAAGTGGAGCCAAAGTTAGCTCGATTAATCAATTAAACAATTCTGATAGCTCTTTTAGAGTCTGAAGCCTGATAGCTCTGAAGCCTGATAGCTCTGAAGCCTGATAGCTCTGAAGGTAATATTTCTGAAGATTTCTTGACTGAACTTACTTTCAAGTAACGATGAATGAGATCGGAAATGTTTTCACCAGTTGGTTGGCTGTAAATTGAAAGAAATAGATAAAATAGATAAATTCTTTCAATCTTTAAGAGTTTTTTCGGCTCTCCACAACAAAATACAGAGTTTTTTCAGTGTTTACAACTTTTGATCAACTTTTGATCACTTTTGATCACCTCGCAAGCCTCAATTTCAACCTCAATATGCTAATTATTATCTAAAGATTGATACCTTGACTTCTTGGCTACATTTATCTCTTAAAAGTTTCCCAATTGAAGATTTACAAAACATTTTACAAGCTCTTGAATGAGTTTTCTCAGAAATTTCGAAGAATTTCTTGCTTTTTCATTTTTTTTCGATAATTTTCAGCGATTTTCTTCAATTCAAAAAGTTTCTTTTAATTAAATTGATGAAAATTTTGTCTTAATCTTATTTTTAAACATATATTTATAGCATAAAATCAATTGATATTGCAAGAAAATTATCAAAAAAATACTCAATTTTCCACTTTTTTCCAAAGAAAATTGACTTCAACCCAAATTTGAGTCAAATAAATCAACAAAAAACCCATTTTAATGTTATTAAATGGGTTTTAAATGGCTTTTAAATAATAGTTTAACATAAATAAATATTTAAAAAAAACTCTTTTTCTAACAATTTGTGGAAAATGACAGAGAAAGATGACCGTTTTCTCTCTAATAGTAGTGCACCTCGGCGAGCCGATTTGATCACTATTTCACAGCTCCCAAGCTTTCACAGAAGCTCAACACTCTAATACCCCACTAGATCTCATCGTCAGCTACATTTTCCGACCTCACGTCGATAGGTTCTGATAAGCGGTTCTCGAGATTTCGAGGAATATACAGGGTGCGGCAGAATTATAGGTGCATGACATAAAGACGGAAAACGAGCCTTCGCTCTTGATTTTGCACTCGAATTTATGTTTTTGTTGTTATTTTATGATTGAATTTGTATTTGTAAATTATAATTTTTTATAACTTTGAGTTTCAGGCTATGGTTCGCGCTTCCCCGCATCGACAATTGATCGTGGAACTTCATCGGAAGGGCGAATCGGCGACCGTGATCGGAAGAAAGTTGGGAGTGCATCGAAACGTTGTTAACCGAGCCATTCAACGCTACAACGAGTTGGGATCAATGTCTGATCGGCCGCGAGGAGGTGTTCGTCCATCTGTGGTGACGAAAGGCAACATCAAGAAGGTCAGGGATCGCCTGCGAAAGAAGCCCAATCGAGTCCGCTCGAAGAATTGCCAAACATATGGGTGTATCCGATCGATCAATCCGTCGAATTATCAAGGACAAGCTCAAGCTCAAGCCCTACAAGAAGAACAAATCCGCTCTGCTTTCGGCAGACGCCAAATTGAAGAGAAGAGATCGATGTGAAAGCCTTCGTCTTCGTTTCAACGGAATCGACCACAGGAACATTTTGCTCACCGATGAGAAAATTTTTACGATTGAAGGAATTCTGAACAAGCAGAACGATCGAGTTTGGTCGAAAACTCAACCAAATGTTACCGTCGGTCGCAGCGGCCACCCAGCTTCAGTCATGGTTTTTGGCGGTGTGACGGCTTCCGGCAAGACACCACTGATTTTTGTGCCACAAGGTGTCAAAGTTAATGCGAACACGTACTTGGATATGCTAAAGAAAGAACTTGTTCCCTGGGCTCAAAATCACTTCCAAAATCGCATCTGGACCTTCCAGCAAGATGGTGCTCCCGCTCACAAAGCCAAGATTGTTCAGGATTTCTGCAAAGCGACTTTTCCCGACTTCATTGCATTCAACGAGTGGCCCCCAAGCTCCCCAGACCTCAATCCATTGGATTTCTCGGTCTGGTCTGTTCTTGAAGCCGAGGCCTGTCAGAAACCTCACAAAAACCTCGAAAGTTTGAAGAAATCTCTCTTGAAAGCCTGGGAGGGTCTGGACGCCGCCTACTTGGTCGCCACGGTCGACGCCTTTCCCAAGCGACTCAAGTCTTGCATCGACGCCAAAGGAGGAAGATTCGAATATGATCAATAAAAGTTGTTAATTTAAGTTCAATAAATATGTTAAAACTGTTTTTGTGGCAAATTTTTCGTTTTTTGGTCATATTCCAATGGAACTTCTCTGCACCTATAATTCTGCCGCACCCTGTATAGAGAGCGTAGGGTGCACTACTACTAGAGAAAATAAGGTATTAGCTAAAAGGAACTCAGAAATATGTATACCAAGTATTTCCTTCTATCTATCTATCTTTCTTTATTCCTTTCTTACTTTCTTCTTCCCCTTTGTCTTTCCTTCTTTGTTCTGATAAGCGATTCTCGAGATTTCCAGGAATTTAAAGAGAGCTTAGAGTGCACTACTACTAGAGAAAATACGCTAAATACTTATCCAATTTTTATCAAATAATTGAATCTTCACTATAAACCTTTAAGGTTTTAAAAACTACAAGACTTGATTTAAGAATTGATAAGCTTTGATAAAGCTTTGTTAGGCTAGATCTACTTAAGCAGATCTACTTAAGCAGATCTACTTAAGCTCAGATCTACTTAAGCAGAGCTACTGAAGCAGAGCTACTTAAGCTCAGATCTACTTTAGTACTAAGCTATTAGACTTAATCTACTTAAACAGATCTATTTAAGCAGGTCTATTTAAGCAGATCGATTTATGTAGAACTATTTAAGTAGATCTACTTAAGCAGAGCTACTTAAGCAGATCTACCTAGACTCAGATCTATTTAACCCATTCGAAACTTCTACAGCGAATAATCGCTGCAGCAAAAACTCAGGAACGGACCGCTGCAGCGATTATTCGCTGCAGCGCTAATTGAGCTATTTTCATTCAATTAATTGGTTTTTTTTGCTGTTTTTCAGCATTGCATGTATATTCCAATTGTAGCAGATCTACAAATTACGTGGGCAAAGAAGATGTTTTATATTTACCCGGAATCAATGCAGTCTCTGGTTTTGCATTGAAATGTTCCATAATAGCTCTAATCGTATAAAGCCGATCTCCCGCTGGATCCAGTTCATTATCACAAAAACGCAGGTTTCGAAGAATAGATTCAAATTTTGCTCTTGACATAATGTGGGACATGTGGGAAAATCCTCCTAATCCAGGCCTGCTACTCCAGTAGTCACGATACAGAGCCAGGAAGAGCTTGCATCGAAATCCTGCCAGTTTTTTTTCCTTTTTCCATGTTTATTAGATTCGCCTACTAACATGCTGATTAATTTGTCGTCGATAAAATAAGAATAATATAGGATTTAGAAAAGTACTGAAGTCAAATCCAAATCGTTCTTCATCAAAAATAAATGGTGTAGGAGACTCTCTTGCATCTTTCCAACCATAAATAAACTGCTTCGGAGTCAAAAATGTCAAAAAAGGGCTTGGTCCGTAGACGAAAAAAAAGAAAAAACGCTGCGGTTTCGAATGGGTTAAGCAGATCTACTTAACCTCAGATCTACTTTAGTACTAAGCTATTAGCCTTAAGGTTTATCATTGTTAGATTGAAGTTCAACCATTGTACCATTTTCCTTTTTCGATAGGTTCTGATAAGCGCTTTTCGAGATTTCGAGGAATTAGGGTGCACTAGAAAGCTTAGGGTGCACTACTATTAGAGAGAATAAGGTAACTGTACTGTTTAAGAGCTTGTCAAATGAGTTGAATTTCTTTAATAAAAAAACAAAAAACTTTTAAGAAATAAATATAGACAAGGTTTAATATATTTGAAAGTTTTTAAGACAAACGATTCTCTTTTGATTCTCTTTTGTTGGAGATCGTTTCGAAAACGTCGCAAAAAAAGTGATCGCGCATTGAAAGCACGAGAGGAACGACGATTTATTGTGCTCAAAATCTAAAATTCAAATTAATAAAATACTTTTTAAGCTTGATAGATTCATCTTACGAATCTTACGAATCGAAAAATTATTAGAAAACTGGAAAAACTGGAAAACAGGAATGTTTGTGCTTACTTTTTGCCGTTCTTTGTTGTTGAGTGGTCGCAAGAGTGTTTCCCCGACATAAACGTGAAGATTCTAAAGGTTTAAAATGAGCTGTTTGAGCTGTTTGAGCTGTTTGAGCTGTTTGAGCTGTTTGAGCTGTTTGAGCTGTTTGAGCTGTTTGAGCTGTTTGCGCTGTTTGAGCTGTTTGAGCTGTTTGCGCTGTTTGAAGTCTTCTAATCATTACAGTAGTTTCTTGTTAAGCAAATAAAGAAAGATATATTACCCGAACAATGCAATCTTTTAGCACGATTTCTGTTGAATCGTCAACGCCACCACAAAATGGTGGAATCACTGGAGCGTCGGCGATTTGACGATTTTCGCTCAGTCTGAAAAGGGAATTGAAATGTACAACTTTTTGAAATGTAAAAGGGATTGAAATCTACAAGTTTTCTCAATAATCCTTGAGAATGCCATCCTGCTGACAATGCGATTCTGACTTTTGCTTAATCCAGAGTTTAGAAACCTCAGCAAAGTGGGAAAGAAAAGAAGTTAGAGCCTTGTTTTTGTCGTGTCCTAGGCTACGATTAAGCGATTTTTATGCACAACAATGACTTTTTAAATGCTTATTCTTAAATTCCTATATTCTTATAATTCCTATATTCCTATATTCCTATATTCTTATATTCTTATATTCTTATATTCTTATATTCTTATATTCTTATATTCTTAGATTCTTAGATTCTTCTATTTCTTATATTCTTCTACTTCTTATATTCTTCGACTTCTTATCTATTCTACTTCTTCTACTTCTTACCGTAAATACTGTAATAGTACCCCACCCCCCTCGTACAGTCGCGTAGTTGCAAAAGTTTTTTAGTATTTCATTTTTTGCAAAGCACCCGTACTTTCAAAAAATGCGTCTTTGGTATCAAAAAATAGCCCTGAATTTCAGCTATTTTTTGATACCTAAGCGCACATTGTAGCATAAAGCAGTGTCGAGAAAAACTCGTTCAAAGTTAGACTACGCAACGCTCCGCACCGTCATTATGGGGGTGGGGTACTATTACAGTATTTACGGCATCTATTCTACTTCTTCTCTATTCTACTTCTTCTACTACTCCTTCCACTTCTACTTCTACTTCTACTTCTTCTACTTCTTCTACTTCCACTTCTTCTACTTCTTCTCTATTCTACTTCTACTTCTTCTACTTCTACTTCTTCCACTTCTACATCTACTTCTTCTACTTCTACTTCTACTTCTTCTACTTCTACTTCTTCCACTTCTACATCTACTTCTTCCACTTCTACATCTACTTCTTCTACTTCTACTTCTACTTCTTCTACTTCTACTTCTTCCACTTCTACATCTACTTCTACTTCTTCTACTTCTTCTACTTCTTCTACTTCTTCTACTTCCACTTCTTCTACTTCTTATCCATTCTACTTCCACTTTTTCTACTTCTTCTCTATTCTACTTCTTCTACTTCTACTTCTAAATTCTTTTCCTTTTAACGTATCAAAAAGACAAAAAAACCTCTTAAATGTCTGCAATAGATGTTGATACTTTTTAAACTCATCAGCCTCTGTGTCACTCAAATTTCGCACTAGCACACCGTGCAGGAAAAGTTGACCGTCCTAAATTGAATCCTTGTAAGATGTTTGATAAATTGGTGTGCAATGATCGAGAATTTTCTTTCAAACCTCAACCGCACAAGCGGGTCCAATGTAGCCGTAACGACTCGAGAACTCGTTAATGATGTGCTCGGCGGTGACTGTGAGCCAGAGAAAAAGGAATAGCATTTTTTTTTTTGTGGGCTGAAACGCTGAAAACTATTCTAAGCTTTGATTTGGTTAGAATAAAAGTCACAAATTTTGATTAGGATTTCAATTTCAATCTATTTTGATTAGGATTTCGAATCTGAAATAAGAAAAAGATGAATTTTAAATGAATTTTAAATTTGAATATTAGGTGTGTGAAAAAGTTTGATCTAATACTTCTAATACGGTTCCTATTTTGATCCAATACTTCCAATACAGTTCCTATTTTGATCTAATATTAGGTGTGTGAAAAAGTAATCCACGTTTTTAACGTTTAAATATATAAAAGACCATAAGTTTCGTTAAAATAATTTTGATTCAACAAAGTAATCACCATTCGAAAGAACAACCTTTTGCCAACGTTCTACAAGTAAAGATATTCCACGATAATAAAAATCTTGGTCCTTAGAGGCGAAGAAAAGATGAACCATCAACCTCGGTTTTGACATCTTCTTCGGAATTGAACCGTTGGCCGGCGGAACGATTGGCCAAAAAGTTAGACAGAGACAAAAATAAATAATAATCAGATGGAGAAAGGTCTGGACTATAAGGTGGATGTGGTAAAACCTCCCATCCAACACTCTGGATTTTTTGTCGAGTCTGTAAAGAGACATGTGGTCGCGCGTTTTCGTTCATGCGGTATCCATTTGTCTAACTTCTTGATAAAATTCATGGCATTCAAGCGTTTCCTTACGGTTGACCCATCACAATTTAATGTAAGGCCTATTTCTGAAGAGGTTGAACGAGGGTTTTCGAGAAGACAGCGTCTTATTTGGTCATCAGATAAAAATAAAAAACGTGAATTACTTTTTCACACACCTAATAGAAGGGAAGAAGAAGGGAGGAAGAAGAGAAGAAGAAGGGAAGAAGGGAAGAAGAAGGGAAGAAGGGAAGAAGAAGGGAAGAAGAAGAGAAGAAGAAGGAAGAAGAAGGGAAGAAGGGAAGAAGAAGGGAAGAAGGGAAGAAGAAGGGAAGAAGAAGAGAAGAAGAAGAGAAGAAGAAGAGAAGAAGAAGGGAAGAAGGGAAGAAGAAGGGAAGAAGAAGAGAAGAAGAAGAGAAGAAGAAGGGAAGAAGAAGGGAAGAAGAAGGGAAGAAGAAGGGAAGAAGAAGGGAAGAAGAAGGAAATAAGGCGCATGAAGAACCAGTCTAGCTGACTCTCTTTATGTCCACTTTAAAACGTGGATTACTTTTTCACACACCTAATAGAATGGAAAAAAAAATGAAATTCAGCAAAGAGAAAAGAGGTTTTGAAAGCTTTCAAAATTCATCACTGCTTTCTAATCTTTAGAAAATTTCAAGGAAATGAGAAAGGTGGCGAGCTGATATGCAAATATTCATGAAAAAGAGGTGGGAGGGGTAGCGTTGTGGACTCTGTGAACTCTGTGGACTCTGTGGACGCTGTGGCCTCTCTGGACTCTGTGTCCACCCCCGAGTCGCCCCGATAATGGTTTTAGCAAAGTGATTAGAGCTTAAATTCTTTCTTTTCACTTTTCTTTTCTTAAAGAAAAGGTTTAAAAGAAAATCCTAGGCGAACATCTCTTTCTGATGCGATTATTGTCCTCGGAATTCTTTTAACCATTAGCTTTCGAGTTTTAAAGGTGCTAGCAAAAATTGTGAAACGCTTTCTGAGAGAAAGATTTGAGGTTTAGGAAAGTTTTACAAATGATACTTTATTGATTGATTGTAGATTGATACAAGGCCAAGATTACAAGACTAAGACAAGGCCAAGATGACAGTAGATTCGGTATTATACTACAAAAGCTCAAGCTCGATATTACGAATCAACTCTACAGTGAGTATTACGATACTACTAGATAGTAACAATACAGTGTTGACCTGGCTCAAGTTGGTTCAAGGCTCAAGTCTCAAATGTTGGCTCAAGGCTTAAGGCTCAAGGCTTAAGGCTCAAGGCTTAAGGCTTAAGGCTCAAGGCTTAAGGCTCAAGGCTTAAGGCTCAAGGCTTAAGGCTCAAGGCTTAAGGCTCAAGGCTTAAGGCTCAAGGCTTAAGGCTCAAGGCTCAAGGCTCAAGGCTCAAGGCTCAAGGCTTAAGGCTCAAGACTCAAGGCTCAAGACTCAAGGCTCAAGACTCAAGGCTCAAGACTCAAGGCTCAAGACTCAAGGCTCAAGACTCAAGGCTCAAGACTCAAGGCTCAAGACTCAAGGCTCAAGTCTCAAATGTTGACTCAAGGCTCAAGGTCCAAGTCTCAAATGTTGGCTCAAGGCTCAAATGTTGACTCAAGGCTCAAGGCTCAAATGTTGGCCCAAGTTAGTTAGCTCAAATTAGTTACCTCAAGTTAATTGATCCAAGTTAATTGATCAAAATTAGTTGACTAAAGTTAGTTGTTCAAAAAGTGCATAAAGTTAGAAATTGTAAATACAAATCGTGTAAAGAATAGTCGATTTGAAAGAAATTACTGTAAGAACTTTTCCTTTTTCTTTGCAAGTTCTTTGCAAGTTCCTAAAGTGTATCTCTATTGAAGTACCCATCAACATCTTTCCTTTTTTAGTCATTCGATATTCTGTTTGCTGAGGTCGTGCACTGTGGGGCTTTTTTTTTCTGTAGTGTTAACAAGCTTTGTGAAAAGAGCTGCTTTCTTGATCTACTCTAAACAATTCAAAAAAATTACGGAAACTCAAGTTTTATACAATTAGTTTCGGAAATGAATGCAAAATGAAGAGTTGAACGTTGACTTAATAGACTCACTGTAGACTTATTGTAGACTTACTGTAGACTTAGACTTACTGTAGACTTACTGTAGCCTTAGACTTACTGTGGTCTTATGTAGACTATTGTATATACTCCGTCCTGCCCCGCTCGTGCGTGTCTGTGGCCTACTGTAGACTTATTGTAGACTTACTGTAGACTTACTGTAGACTTACTGTAGATTTATTGTAGTCTTACTGTAGCCTTAGACTTACTGTAGTCTTACTGTAACCAATCAGCTATTTTCTAATGACTTTATAAGCCTGACTTTCAGTAAAATGATAGTAAGAAGCTAGCTCCAGTAAGAGGATTAATATTGCTCAATTTGATCCGTTTCAGTCCGTTTTGGACGTTTCAATCAGTCCGTTTTATTGGGTTGGTGGAAAAGTCCTTTCGGATTTTTTGGGAGAGTACCTTAAATTTGTCGAATTTTGACGTTTTATAGCTCATCCTAAAGCTGAATTCAAGATGGATCGATTGGTAAAAACCGTTTTGAGATATGTCTTTCCGAAAAGTTTTTACAGCTATTTTAGTAAAGGGCGGCAGAGCCAAAAAAAAAATGGCTGTTTTCACGTTTCGTTAGTTTTCCGTGCAGAAACCTAGGCTAAAAACATGTGTTTCGTGATCAGCGTCAAAAATAACCCCTAGACACGCATTTTCAGAATGTTAGCAAAAAATTTTTGAAAAATATTGTCACCGGTGGAAGTCGAACCAGCGACCCTCAGATCAATAGCCTTTCGTTTTTCTTTCGTTTTTCTTTCTTTCTTCCTTCGTTTTTCTTGTTTTATCATTTTTTTTTGATGTTGTTAGAAGGCTTTTTTGCAGGAATGTCGTGTCAAGTTGAGGATCTTCTTCAACCAAATCAGCAAGTTTGTCTTCGTCGATTTCCGATGGTCTTCCTGTTCTTGCACTATCGAGAAGTGAGAAATAAAACGTCAAAATTCGACAAATTTAAGGTACTCTCCCAAAAAATCGGGAAGGACTTTTCCATCAACCCAATACATTCATGGTTAATGTATCATTTTGTAGGAAATTTAAAAATAGAATTATATTTATAAACTAACGAAACGTGAAAACAGCCATTTTTTTGGGCTCTGCCGCCCTTTACTAAAATAGCTGTAAAAACTTTTAGAAAAGAGATATCACAAAACGGTTTTTACCAATCGATCCGTCTTGAATTCAGCTTTAGGAAGGAGCTATAAAACGTCAAAATTCGACAAATTTAAGGTACTCTCCCAAAAAATCCGAAAGGACTTTTCCACCGACCCAATAAAACGGACTGATTGAAACGTCCAAAACGGACTGAAACGGATCAAATTGAGCAATATTAATCCTCTTACTGGAGCTAGCTTCTTACTATCATTTTACTGAAAGTCAGGCTTATAAAGTCATTAGAAAATAGCTGATTGGTTACAGTAAGACTTTCCACCAACCCAATAATTTTTAATTTCTCAATTTCGATCTGTAATATCAAGAAATCATCGAAAACTAGAGTTTTAGAAACCAGAAAATCTTCCTCATATCGCTGAATAGCCACAAGCCAGTAAGACAACAAGAAGCAATATTATCCCTTACCGACTTGGACTGATATTGATACTACGATAAAATGAGTGCCAACAATTACATAACAATTCTAGCAATTAATACTCCCGAGAAACTTGTTTAGCGGTGAGAAAAGTCGACTCATAAAGGTCACCAAAACCGATTCTAATCAAATTGTTGATAATAATTTTTGAGTTTTTATTTCTTTTTATTGAATAGAATGAAAGGCTTTTATAGCATCAATCATCATTTTTACTAGTTAGTTTTTACTACTCTCTACTACTCTCTACTACTCTCTACTACTCTCTACTACTCTCTACTACTCTCTACTACTCTCTACTACTCTCTACTACTCTCTACTACTTTCTACTACTTTCTACTCGTTTCTAGTTTTATCAAAAGTGATCAAACTTGCTGTGTAAAGTTGAATCTTTACCCTAATCCTGACACTGATCTTAATCCTGATCTTGATTTTAACCTTTATCATGCTCTTGAGCTTATCTTGAGCTTATAGTGGGCTTATAGTGAGCTTGGAGCTTATAGTGGGCTTCTAGTGAGCTTGGAGGTTATAGTGGGCTTCTAGTGAGCTTATAGTGAGCTAACTTGACTCTATTCAACGTCTATCATAATCTTTCGTTATTTTTCGATTTTAAAGTGCATGAAGTTTCTTAATTATCTTATTCGAATAGATTTGGTCGTTAGTTTCTTGTTTTCTAGTTTTTCTAGTTTTTATTTC